CTGATGTGGCTCACTGGATTGAGTGCCAGCCTGCAAATCAAAGGGTCACTGGTTCGATTCCTGGTCAGGACACATGCCTGGGTTGCAGGCTGGGTTGCCAGTGGTGGGGGGGGGGGGCACGTGAAAGGCAACCACTCATTGATGTTTCTCTCCTTCTCTTTCTCTCTCCCTTTCCCTCTAAAAATAAATAAATAAAATCTTTAAAAAAATTTAGACTTCTGGCCAAGATGGAGGTATAGTAGATATGTTTTGCCCCCTCGCACACCAAAAGAAAGACAACAACAAATTTAAAAACAAAAAATAACCAGAACTTCCAGAAAATCAAACTGTATGGAAGTCCAACAACCGAGGAATTAAAGAAACATTCGCCCACACCGGTAGGAGGGGTGGAGATGGGCAGATGGGATGGAGAGGACACATGACAAGTCGGTAGCTGGCAGACCAGGTGGTCCCACATTCGCATGCAGTTAAACTGGGAGAAATAACTGTGGAGCAAGACACACCATGAAACCCAGGGTTCCAGTGCAGGGAAATAAAACCTCAAAACCTTTGACTGTAAAAACCTCTGCAGGTTGCAGTGGCAAGGGGAGAAACTCCCAGCGTCATAGGAGTTCATTGGGAAGACCCACAGGGTCCTAGAATGTACACAAACTCACCCACTTGGGAATCAGCACCAGAAGGGCCCAATCTGCTTGCAAGTAGCAGGGGAAGTGACTGAAAGCCAACCAAGAGCCAAGCAAGTAGACTTGTTCCCTCTGGAACTCCTACCCCACATACAGTGCCACAAAACAGCAACATGTGCTGCCCCACCCTGGCGAATACCTATGGCTCTACCACTTCCTATGAGTAACAGGCATGCCAAGCCAAAAAAACATAGCCCAAATGAAAGAACATATCAAAGCTCCAAAAACAGAATTAAGCAATGAAGAGATAGCCAACCTATCAAATGCACAGTTCGAAACATTGGTAATCAGGATGTTCACAGAAATGGTCGAGTATGGTTGCAAAATGAAGGACGGAGTGAAGACCATGCCAAGTGAAATAAAGGAAAATGTACAGGGAACCAACAGTGAAGAGAAGGAAACCAGGACTCAAATCAACGATTTGGACCAGAAGAAAGAAATAAACATTCAACCATAATAGAATGAAGAAACAAGAATTCAAAAAAATGAGGAGAGGCTTAGGGGCCTCTGGAAAAACTTTATACATTCCAACATCTGAACCATAGGGATGCCAGAAGGAGAAGAGGCAGAACATGAAATTTAAAATTTATTTGAACAAATAATGAAGGAAAACTTCCCCAATCTGGCAAAGGAAATAGACATGCAAGTCCAGGATGCTCAGAGAGTCCCAAAGAAGATAGGTCTAAGAAGAAACACACCAAGACACATTTAATTAAGTTACCCAAATTAAAGACAAGGAGAGAATCTTTAAAGCAGGAAGAGAAAAGGAGACAGTTACTTACAAAGGAGTTCCCATAAGACTATTGGCTTATTTCTCAAAAGAAACCCTGCATGCAAGAAGAGGCTGGAAAAAAGTATTCAAAGTCATGAAATGCAAGGACCTACATCCAAGATTACTCTACACAGCAAAGCTATCATTTAGAATGGAAAGGCAGATAAAGTGCTTCCCAGATACAGGCAAGTTAAAGGAGCTCATCATCACCAAGCCCTTATTATATGAAATGTTAAAGGGACTTATCTAAGAAAAAGAAGATGATCAAAAATATGAACAGTAAAATGACAACAAACTCACAACTATGAACTACTGAACCTAAAAACAAACTAACTAAGCAAACAACTAGAACAAGAACAGAATCACAGAAATGGAGACCACATGGAGGGTTATCAGCAGGGAATGGGAGGGGAGAGAATGGAGGGGAAAATATAGGGAACAAGAAGCATAATTGGTAGGTACAAAATATACAGGGGAAGGTTAAGAATAGTATGGGAGCCCTGGCTGGTGTGGCTCAGTGGATTGAGCACCAGACTATGAAGCAGAGGGTCACTGATTTGATTCCCAGTCAGGGCATGTGACTAGGTTGTGGGCCAGGTCCCCTTTGTGGGCCCACCAGAGGCAACCACACATTGATGTTTCTCTCCCTCTTTCTCCCTCCCTTCCCCTCTCTCCAATAATAAATAAATAAAATCTTTTTTAAAAAGAATAGTATGTGAAATGGAGAAGCCAAAGAACTTACATGTATGACCCATGGACATGAACTAAGGAAGGGGAATGCTGATGGGGACAGTACAGGGCAGAGGGGAATAAAGGCAAGGAAAAAAAAAGGGGGACAACTGTAATAGCATAATCAATAAAATATATTAAAAAATAAAATAAAATATTTAAGTTGTTTTCCTTATTGAAATTCATTCATTCTCCCAAAATTCCAGACAATGCTTATTTGGTCATAAAATCCTAAAAGATACTACTAGGAAAGTGAATTACACAAAACTGGTTGTGTTCATATAATTTACTTTCCACTGAACCTAGACCAGTGACACACCAACCTAAGTCACAGGTGACTCTAACCTGAATACCACAAACATTCAACCTAAGGGATTATTAATGATAACACCTCACTCTCCTGGTTAATGAAGGCTGAAAACATAGCCCAAAGTCCAATAAATGAACAGGTACAGAATTGTCATCATCCTAAGGCCCTTATCAACAGCATTATTTAAACAATCTCCACAGTTTTCTTATCAGGCCACAATGAAGAAGCAAAATAAAGGTCAATCAAGTGTTTATCAGCTGACAAGCTTTGTCCCTTCAATGAAATTTGTTTTATAATGACTAAACCCAAAGTAGAATATCAGTACTCAACTATACAGATATGATTTTTGGATTCTTGCTTGAATTGGTGAATGATGTGATGTGAAGAAAAAAAAGTGACACATAAAACTCTAAAATAAAAGTACTCCCGAATCCTTACCCATATATGTGATTTAGCTGTCTGCTTCTCCTTGAAAAGTAATAACTAGAGCATATGGTACTCTCGAACACTATCATGAGAAGGGGTAAGAAGACAGAAAGAACATTCCAGAAAGAGTAAGGATTTAAAAGGCAAGGTAGCCCAAGGCAGTAACATCATCTGCTCTAAATATTGCTAATTCTGCTTCCCCTAATCTCTGCTGAAAAAGATACAAAGCAAGATACCTTAGACCTCCTACAGTCATTCCAAGCCTTATGAAAAGTAGGGTAGGTGAGGAAGGTTTTTTAAAAGCAAGCAGTAACTAGGAAAAATAATGCTTGGCTTGGAAAAATTGAGGCTGAACAGAAACTTCCTCCTCTATCTTCACTGCCCCATTGCAAAACAACCTTGATTTTACCATGGTCTCTGAGAAAAGTGGTAGGAAAACACAAATGAAACTGGGGGGGAGAAAGCTGTAAGAAATGTGTTCTTCTCCTTGCTTCACTTCCCATCACCCCAACCTATTTTGGCAGTGCTTACCCTGAGCCTCTGTCCCCATACTCCCTTGCCCTCATCATCAGAGCAAGCTAATTATGAAATCATTTTACTTTCCTGTGTATTTAACTTGATCTAATGCTGCAAAATGTAAATGTCAAATATATGCAAAAGTATTCAATTTATGCTCTTTTCCAATGCAAAAAAATCTAAAGACAATTGATTTCATGAGTATGTGATATTCATATTATAGTTGCCTCACGGAATAAACAGACTTCTGTAAGTTAGTCTCAAAAACTATAACAATCATTGGAGCCATTAGCTCTGTCCCCAAGTTTCAGCATTGGCTCCCAAGGAGTAATCCTGGTTTTGCCTAATTCAATTTTATGACCTTGAACTCAGTCTTTTTTTCTCTGGGCTTCAGTTTACTACCACTTTCTTTCCAAACATGTCATACTGATGTTCTGGATGATTGCTTAACTATCGCACCTTACTTCTATATTAACTGTCTTTTAGGTAAGAATCATGTTTTATACATTCCTTGTATCTGGCATAAATTCAGTTAATCTGTAGACTGATTTAGGAGATGGCAAGGAACATACAAAAGGCATTAAAATATGGAAGGATTTGTTTATGCTAATATTATAAACTGGATCAGAAATCAGAACTAAATTCCTTAATTCATCTGCAGTATTTTCCATACCTGAACCCCTCTCCTCCATTTTTCTCCACACACCCTCCCAGGCCTTTGCATATGTATCTTGAACATATTAAAGGTTGGGGATACCTATAAAACATCTTCAAATCCCCCATATTTGGTGTAACACTTAAATGCTTGCATCAAAGAATTCTCCAGAATACACCCTTCTAATAAAACCACTTAGGGGATGCACCTTCTGAATAAATTTGTATTAAGCAAGCCTATTCTAAGCCTCGCTCCATCCTTCCACCCAGGAACAAATCAAAGGATGTACTACATGAAAGAATCAAGAATCTTCCAGATTTAAGCTTATACATTTTGGGAGGGTCTACAGCACGAAGGCAAAGAGTTCATAAATAAGAAAGAAAAGAGAGAATTGTCCGGTTTCCTACAGCTTCACTAAAAATGGGGGAGAGTTGGAAATAGAGTTGTGAGACAGGTTAGAAATTGGAAGAAATTAAGATTATAGCTTTAAAAGTGCCACCTTTCAAAAAATCCATGGATTGATTTTGAGCCATCAGAAATGGAAGGGATTAAACTTTTACGGGTAGTAGGAAACAGGAACAGTTAAAAGTCAAAAATGGGGTTTGGAATTCGCAGGGGACGGACAGGGGTGCGGGGAGAGGGAAGGGAGGCATCACTACGGTCAGAAAATGAATGGGAAAAGAGAGTAAAATGCCGGCCGAATGGAAGATCTGGAGGGCAGGGGTGAAAAGAGGGAGGGTAAAAGGGAAGGAGCCCGAGAATGAGTGCTAGTAGAAGAGGAAGGTGGGGGATGGGGCATAAGGAAGTGCAGACTCAGGGTGAAGCGCCAGACTAGGAGGCGATCCACCGGCCCCAGACCTGTGGCAGGGGTGTGGGCAATCTGCCCTTATCCCCAGCGGCGGTACATACCTGTTGGTGTGGAAGCGGTGGAGTGGGTCGGTGCGATGGCAGGAGGACAGCTGGCAGCCGAAGTCGCTGATGTCCAGGCAGCCAGGCTCCTCGCTCGGGCATGTGCCCACCCCGCGAGGGGGTCCCAGTAGCGGGAAGGGCTCCTCTGGGGTCAGAAACTTCTCGTAGGAAGTGGTCGCCGATGCTTCGTCGGACATGGCTAGAGATGGCCGGGCTCGGGTTACCTCTCTGGGCCTAGGCTGCTCCCACATCCGCCCCCGTTCCCACTCTAACCTGCCCACTGTCGCCGCCGCGCCTGGGCGTGCCAGCCACAGTTCACCAGCAGGCTGAGCGCAGCGGCCTGCCACAGCTCCTGGGAGTGCGGCGCTGCGAGAGGAGACTGCTCCAGGCCGCAGCAACCCGCTGCCAACGACTCAGTCTCCAGTAGCCCCCGCAGTCGTCTCAGCCTGCCACAACCACTGCTGCCACCCAGCCCAACGCCGTCCGGCGCGGCGCGGCGCGGCCCAGCGCAGCTGCAGCCGCCACCACTGCCGCCGCCGCCGCCAGGCCCGGCCCGGCCCGGCCCGCCCCGCCCCCTGCACTTGCGGCCGCAACTGCTGCGGTCCGCAGGGCCTCTGCCAGGGGCGGTGGGGGGGGGGGGGGGGGGGGGGGGGGGGGGGGGGGGGGGGGGGGGGGGGGGGGGGGGGGTGGGGTGGGGGGGGGGGGGGGGGGGGGGGGGGGGGGGGGGGGGGGGGGGGGGGGGGGGGGGGGGGGGGGGGGGGGGGGGGGGGGGGGGGGGGGGGGGGGGGGGGGGGGGGGGGGGGGGGGGGGGGGGGGGGGGGGGGGGGGGGGGGGGGGGGGGGGGGTGGGGGGGGGGGAGCGGGAAGCTGCTCCCCGCGCCCCCTGCTGGAGTGGAGGAGGAACTGAGCCGCCGCTTGCCTCAGGCGCCGCTGCAATGCCCACCTGGCCCTCCAAGTGGCCAGTTAGGGATTCCAGGAGCTAAAATGCCAGGCACTTCAGGTCAAGCCCCTCCTCCTCTTCACCCGCGATTGATTACTAAACAGCAAACCGCAGGCCTTCGAAAAGGGACTTGGCTCACTGTGGTTGCGTGAGAAAGAATCCAGATGCTCTGGCTCCCAACACATTCGATCACCCTGTTCCAATTCAACAAGTATTTATTGAGCTCCTGCAGATGTGTGCCCAGCACTGTGCAAAAAACTTCAGGGAAAATGAGCCAAGTAGATAAAAGTAGTCCCTACCTCACCTCTGGTCACCAAACCCTGAGAATTACAGACGGTGGCCACCAGGCTACTCAGAGCTGATGAACACATAGAGTTGTTTTGTGCTCTCTGCTGTGGCTTGCATCTTGCATTCTCCTCAAAATGTCCTGCGGTTTCTCCCTTGCTAATCCTTAAAGCCCCAGCTCAAATGTTACCTTCTCTGTGAAGACTTCCCTGACTCTCGAAGGAGACGTGGGCATTACTGCCAATGCTCCTGTAGAAAGAGTGCTTAACTTGTTCAATTTAAATCAATTTACTAGAGATCACATACTGTTCTTCCTCTCTTTTTTCTGTATTTCAGATAAGTGGTTCCAGATCTTAGGGGTACACATTTTTTTAAATATTTGGAGGAAAACACAAAATTGCCAACTTCTTATTTTGCCAACTGAACGCAAAATTTTAAAAACTATCTGCTACTGTTTGGTAAAAGGAAGCACATGTCATATAAAATATGAAACCTGAGGATTAAGCGGGCTGGCTCCTGGTGGCTAACTGGGCTCAAACAAACATGAAAAAAAAAAAAAAAAGCAGAGCCTCGCAGCTATTTTTGCACAGGGACCTCTCACTGCAAACCGAACTTCGGAGAGAAGTTTCTCGGTAAGACTGCCTACCTATGAGCCACTACATTTTCTGTCTTCACTGTTTGTACTATTTGAGATAGCCCTTATTTAAAAAGTTCCTGGAGTCCTAATTCAACCAATTAGGTTTACCTAACTGGTAAGGCTTACCTGAGGCTTACCCCATCCAATCGGAGTTGTGTATCTCTGACCAATCAGAGTGGCTGCTTTCTGGCCAATCAGGGATGGGGGCGGGGACTTCTGTCTATTACGTTAGCTCCCCTCACTTCTGGAGGCACTTTCCTTTGAAGATTGCCTTTGGCCCAGGCACATCATTGTGGGAGGAAGCGGAGCAGGCCATCACAGGTCTGCCTAGTGAAAAGGGCCCTGGCCTCCGGGCCTTGCTGTTTTCTCTGCAGCTTCCCATAGCACTGGAAGAGCTGTTCACAGCAGTGCTGTTTCACACTCTTGACCTATTACTGTTAAGCTGTTTGCAATCAAGTCCGGGATTCCTCTTGGCATTTGAATTGACGCCAAGAACCATGGTTGACAACAACGGTATAATCTCTCAATAAATCATTAAATATTGGGTTGGCCAAAACTTCCCTTGTTGGGCTTTTTTTTTCCCCATAAGGTGGCTCTGGTAGTGCTTAGTTGCCTTTAACTTCATTCAAAACAATTTTGTTAGATTGTATTGTGACCCCTGTCATATCAGCATGCATTAAAAAATCTTAATCAAAATTGAATTTTTGTGTAGCTATTTTAATATTGCAGATGGAAGAAAACCTGCAACACTTTTTCCCATATTATGATTTGTTATTTCCAGAAAGGTAAAAATGCAACTGAAACACAAGAATAGATTTGTGCAGTGTATGGAGAAGGTGCTGTGACTGATCAAATTTATTAAAAGTAGTTTGCAAAGTTTTGTGCTGGAGATTTCTCAATTGTCGGGTAGACCTGTTGAGGTAGATAGCAACCAAACTGAGACGTTAGTTGAGAATAATCAACATTATACCACAGGGAAGATAGCTGATATACTCAAAATATCCAAATCAATAAAGCTATTGATGAAAATGAAAAATGTGCCGTTTATTTTACATAACAAACTAAACAGACTTTTTGGTCAACCCAATATATTTAATCTCAGGAAGGCCTAGCATCTCCTGATTGGACAGATCTTCCCATGCAACTCACCAACACTAACATTGAACGAACATAATATTTTCTAGTACCTCTCTTTTTATAAGGTAAAATAAAAATGTATGATCATCCAGGGGCCATCTAGAAAATCTCAAAAATAGCTTTAGTCGCTAAAGATATCCAGAAAATTATTTTATTTCATTTTACATTTAGGATTCAATATTAGGAAATTTGTCAGGACATTTGAAATTTAAAATAGAACAATTGGTGATACAAAACAGTACATAATAATTCCAGAAAATAAAATTATCTTCTGGAGAGTGGGGCCCTAGTAGTACAGCCTTCCCCCACTAGGTGAGTGTTCTAGGAACCCATCAGTATCAGTGTACCAGTTGGAGTTGTTGTGAGAGGTTGCATTTAGCTTCAGGGAATTTTTTTTTGAAGACTCTTCCAACAGCCTTTGCCCACTTCATGATGGGTAATTTACAAGCATACCTGCCCACACTGTGCTAAGTTTTCAGCAGTTTTTGACCAAAAACAGCATGACCCCCATAACTTATCCTCCCTATTCACCCCATCTCCTGCTGAGTGACTTTTTTTTGTTTCCCCAGTTGAAAAAAGTTCTTAAAGGGAAACGTTTTAACAATGTGGAAGAGGTGAAAAAAATCGGCAGAAGCACTAAAAGGCATCAAAATTGTTGACTTTAAAAACTGTTTTGAGCAGTGGAAAAATATCTCAATAGGTATATTGCATCAGATAGAGAGTACTTTGAAAGTGACTGAAGTTTAAACATGTAATAATAAATACACAAGTTTTTATCAATAAATTCTAGTTTATTGGGGTTCCCCCCAGTATCTGACTATTCATAGAGAGTAACAAAACTTTCAAAAATAAAAATATAAGGTAACATGATGATCAAGAACCTTAGCTCTTTCATAAGTGAGAAAGGTTTGCTTTCTTAATTAAGGATTTTAATAGTGAACATGAAGCACAGAAAATTATTGTAATAAAACATGGAATCATTTTTTACCTAGGCAGATTACACAAACTAACCCTTTGTATTGAAGGTGAAGAAAATGAACAGTCAATCACTGAGTTTCTTGTACTAGTCTAGGCCCCCAAAATACAAAATGAATGTGACATACACTAAACCTTCCAGGAATTAATCTAAGTAAAAAAACAGGTATGACAAAAAGGGATGGGAGGCAGAGATTGCTAGTTGACTATCACATACCTTCTCTCCCATTTATTAAGTAATAAAGTCTGATTTTTGGGAGGAGTAGCTGTGTACCCAGGTGAAAAAATTTTATTTCCCCTCCTTCCTTTCAGAGAGGGGGATCCATGTGACTAAGGACAATGATATGTGTGTGGAAATTGTTGGGTGGAGCTTCTTAGAAAGCTTCATAGTTTTATGTGCATGTGCATATGCACCTGCACTCTCTGCACATGCATGCACCGGTGTGGGGGAGTAAGAGTAATGGTGCTTATGAGGCTGCTAAATTCAGGGGCTGTTTTAGTTTTTATTCATTTACTCAGGAGCCCTTTTACTTGTTCTTGCCCAGCTATCGATGTGATGGCTGGAACTACAGCAAACATAATGTTACATTGCTGGGAACTGCCCTGCCTGGTATCAGAAGCTGTAACCCCAACCAAGGCTAAGGCTGAGGGAATGACCTTGGATCGTAAGCCAGCAAGGAGATAAAAGCTTATCTCCCTGGCAGGAGTGCCGCTTCTGCTACTTTTACTTCACCCTGCCTGGCGCCCATTGCTTGGTCGGTTAGCCAATGACGGGTAAGATTCCCCAAGGGGGGAACGATCTAAGACAGGCACGATCATGTGGGAGGCCGCCAAGGAAGGACATTGGGGGCTACAGCAAAAGTGGGTAATGGACCCCCACCCCTCAGCTTTGACATAACCTGAGTCCTCATTGACTGTGAGAAAACCTCCTAATCTCTTGTCTGCCTTTCTTCCCTTGTTCAACCTAAGCCTGAAACAATGACAGAGTGTGGTACAGCCCTGTGTTGGAAAGGGTGGATTCCCCGGGTGATCAAGCCTAAGAAAGAATATGTAAAATCCTGTGAAACCTGCTTTGTTTAGAGTGCTCTCAATGAAATGATAAGGGTCCAAGCAAGAAGTAAGTTTGTTCCTCAAAGCTTTACAGCTCTTTAGCTATCTGACCCTGACTCAAAATAGGCCCTTAGACTTCTTTGTTATCTATTGTTTGATCCTTACTTCCTGGCAATGATTAATGAGCTTTACCTGAATTCTTGTGCAAACGAACCCAATAAAAGCCTGCTCAGGTGGAGGAATGGGGCACTCTCCACTAGAGAGAGTGGCCATTTCATCCCTATTTCTCCACAGGACTCAGTTGTCCGTGTGTATGTTTTTCTCGTGTTTCGACAGGCCATCTGCAGCATTCCGCGGTCACTCTTAGTTGGTGGCCATGACATTACATGGAGAAAAACTTGAGCTGGGAAGCCAGAGCTTGATCTTGGAAAACAGCAGAAAGATAAAAGGAGTGACCATAACCATGTTGAATTTCCTACCTTTAAATTTCTTTTATATGATGGAAAAAATAATGGGTTCTTAATGAGCCAACACAATTGCTAAACAATACAG